ATCAATGAGACAGAAAATCAACAAGGACATCGAAGACTTGAACACAGATCTGGACCAAGCAGACCTAATAGACATCTACCGAACTCTCCACCTGAAATCCACAGAATATACTTCTCAGCACCACATCGTACTTACTCTAAAACTGACCATATAATTGGAAGTAAATCACCCCTCAGCAAATGCAAAAGAACGGAAATCATAACAAACAGTCTCTTAGACGACAGTGCAATCAAATTAGAACTCAGGATTAAGAAACTCACTCAAAACCGCATAACTACATGGAAACTGAACACCTGATCCTGAATGATGAGTGGATAAACAAAGAAATGAAGGCAGAAATAAAGATGTTATTCAAAACCAATAAAAATGAAGACACAACGTACCAGAATCTCTGGGACACATTTAAAGCAGTGTCTAGAGGGAAATTTATAGCAATAAATGCCCACATGAAAAGCAAGGAAAGATCTAAAATCGACACCCTATCATCAAAATTGAAAGACTTAGAGGAGCAAGATCAAAAAACTCAAAAGCTAGCAGAAGACAAGAAATAACTAAGACCAGAGCAGAACTGAAGGAGACAGAGACACAAAAAAATGCTTCAAAAAAATCAATAAATCCAGGAGCTGGTTTTTTGAAAAGATCAACAAAATAGACAGACCCCTAGCCAGACTAACAAAAAAGAAAAGAATCAAATAGATGTAATAAAAAATGATAAAGGGGATATCACCACTGATTCCACAGAAATACAAACTACCATCACAGATTACTACAAACAACTCTATGCACATAAACCAGTAAATCTGGAAGAAATGGATAAATTCCTGGACACTTGCACTCTCCCAAGACTAAACGAGGAAGAAGTTGAATCCCTGAATAGACCAATAACAAGGTCTGAAGTTGAGGCAGCAATTAATAGCCTACCAACCAAAAAAAGTTCAGATAGGTTCACAGCCAAATTCTGCCAGATGTACAAAGAGGAGCTGGGACCATTCCTTCTGAACCTATTCCAAATAATACAAAAAGAGGGAATCTTTCCTAACTCATTTTATGAGACCAACATCATCCTGATACCAAAATCTGGCAGAGACTCAACTAAAAAAGAAAACTTTAGGCCAATATCCAAGATGAACATAGACGCAAAAATCTTCAATAAAATACTGGCAAACTGAATGCAACAGCACATCAAAAAGCTTATTCATCACGATCAAGTAGGCTTCATCCCAGGGATGCAAGGCTGGTTCAACATACACAAATCTGTGAACGTAATCCATAACATAAACGGAAACATAGACAAAAACCACATGATTATCTCAATAGATGCAGAGAAGGCCTTCAACAAAATTCAACAGCCCTTTATGCTAAAAACCCTCAATAAAGTAGGTATCAATGGAACATGTCTCAAAATAATAAAAGCTATTTACGACAAACCCAGAGCCAATATCATGCTGAATGGGCAAAAGCTGGAAGCATTCCCTTTGAAATCAGGCACTACGCAAGGGTGCCCTCTCTCACCACTCCTATTCAATATAGTATTGGAAGTTCTAGCCAGAGCAATCAGGCAAGAAAAAGAAAGGGTATTCAATTAGGAAAAGAGGAAGCCAAATTGTCTCTATTTGCAGACAATATGATTGTATATTTAGAAGACCCCATCGTCTCAGCCCAAAATCTCCTTAAACTGATAAGCAACTTCAGCAAAGTCTCAGGATACAAAATCAATGTGAAGAAATCACAAGCATTCCTATATGCCAATAACAGACAAACAGAGAGCCAAATCAAGAAAGAACTCCCATTCACAATTGCTACAAAGAGAATAAAATACCTAGGAATACAACTAACAAGGAACATAAAGGACCTCTTCAAGGAGAACTACAAACCACTGCTCAACAAAATAAGAGAGGACACAAAGAGATGGAAAAACATTCCATGCTCGTGGTTAGGAAGAATCAATATCGTGAAAATGGCCATACGGTCCAAAGTAATTTATAGATTCAACACTATCCACAACAAGCTACCAATGACCTTCTTCACAGAACTGAAAAAAAAACACCTTAAACTTCATATGGAACCAAAAGACAGCCCACATAGTCAAGTCAATTCTAAGCAAAAAGAACAAAGCCAGAGGCATCACACTACCTGACTTCAAACTATACTACAAGGCTATAGTAATCAAAACAGCATGGTACTGGTACCAAAACAGAGATGTAGACCAATGGAACAGAACAGCGGCCTCGGAGGTAATGCCACACACCTACAACCATCTGATCTTTGACAAACCTGAAAAAAAAGCAATGGGGAATGGATTCAATAAATGGTGTTGGGAAAACTGGCTAGCCATGTGCAGAAAGTTGAAACTGGACCCCTTCCTTACCTCTTATACAAAAGTTAACTCCAGATGGATTAAAGATTTAAACATAAGACCTAACACCATAAAAACCCTAGAAGAAAACCTAGGCAATACCATTCAGGACATAGGCATAGACAAGGACTTCATGACTAAAACACCAAAAGCAATGGCAACAAAAGCCAAAATCAGCAAATGGGATCTAATTAAACTTAAGAGCTTCTCCAGAGGAAAAGAAACAATCATTAGAGTGAACTAGCAACCAACAGAATGGGAAAAAATTTTGCAATCTACCCATCAGACAAAGGGCTAATATCCAGAATCTACAAAGAACTAAAACCGATTTACAAGGAAAAAAAAAACCCATTCAAAAGTGGGCAAAGGATATGAACAGAAACTTTTGAAAAGAAGATAATTTACTGAATATTTTTGCATCTATGTTCATCGTGGATATTGGCCTGAAGTGTTTTTTTTGTTGTTGAGTCTCTGTCGGGTTTTGGTATCAGGATCATGTTGGTCTCATAAAATGATTTCGGAAGGATTCCCTCTTTTTGGATTGTTTGGAATGGTTTCAGAAGGAGTGGTACCAGCTCCTGTTTGTACGTCTGGTAGAATTCAGCTGTGAACCCATCTGGACCTGGACTTTTTTTGGTTGGTAGGCTATTAACTGCTGCCTCAACCTCAGCCCTTGTTATTGGCCTGTTCAAGGTTTCAGCTTCTTTCTGGCTTAGGCTTGGGAGGGTGCAAGTGTCCAGGAATTTATCCATTTCTTCCAGGTTTACTGGTTGATGTGCATAGAGTTGTTTGTAGTAATCTGTGATTGTAGTTTGTATTTCTGTGGAGTCAGTGGTGATATACCTTTATCGTTTTTTATTGCTTCTATTTGATTCTTCTCCCTTTTCTTTTTTATTAATCTGGCTAGCAGTCTATTTTGTCGATCTTTTAAAAAAAAAAAAAAACAGCTCCTGGATTTATTGATTTTTTTGAAGGATTTTTGTGTCTCTATCTCCTTCAGTTCTACTCTGATCTTGGATTATAAATCATTCTATTATAAAGACACATGCACACATATGTTCATAGTGGCATTGTTTACAATAGCAAAAACCTGGAACCAACCCAAATGGCCATTGATGATACACTGGACAAGGAAAATGTGGCACATATACACCATGGAATACTATGCAGCCATAAAAAACGATGAGTTTGTGTCCTTTGTAGAGACATGGATGAACCTGGAAACCATCATTCTCAGCAAACTGACACAAGAACAGAAAATCAAACACTGCATGTTCTCACTCATAGGTGGGTGTTGAACAATGAGAACACACGGACACAAGCCGGGGAACATCACACACTGGGGTCTGTTATGGGGGGCCAAGGGAGGGATAGTGAGGGTGGTAGGGAGGGATAACGTGGGGAGAAATGCCAGAGGTAGGTGATGGGGAGATGGAGGCAGCAAACCACATTGCCATATGTGTACCTATGCAACAATCCTGCAAGATCTGCACATGTACCCCAGAACCTAAAGTAGAATTAAAAAAAAAAAAAAGTAGATATTTGTGTAGCCAAGAAACATATAAAAAAAGCTCACCATCACTGGTCATTAGAGAAATGCAAGTCAAAACCACATTGAGATACCATCTCATTGCCAGTTAGAATAGCGATCATTTAAAAATCTGGAGACAACAGATGCTGGAGAGGATGTGGAGAAATAGGAACACTCTTACACTGTTGGTGGGAGTGTAAATTAGTTCAACCATTGTGGAAGACAGTGTGGCGATTCTTCAAGGATCTAGAAATAGAAATACCATTTGACCCAGCAATCCCATTACTGGATATATATCCAAAGGATTATAAATCATTCAATTATAAAGACACATGCAGATGTATGTTCACTGTGGCACTTTAACAATAGCAAAGACCTAGACCCAACCCAAATGCCCATCAATGATAGATTGGACACAGAAAATGTGGCACATATACACCATGGAATACTATGCAGCCACAAAAAACGATGGGTTCGTGCCCCTCATAGAGACAGATGAATCTGGAAACCATCATTCTCAGCCAACTGACACAAGAACAAAAAACCAAATACAGCATGTTCTCACTTGTAGGTGGGTGTTGAACAGTGAGAACACATGGGCACTGGGAGGGGACCATCACACACCAGGGTATGTTGGGAGGTGGGGGGTTAGGGGAGGGACAGCAGGTGGTGGGGACGCTGGGGAGAGATAACGCTGGGAGAAATGCCTGATGTAGGTGACAGGGGGATGCAGACAGCAAACCACCATGGCATATGTGTACCATGCAACAATCCTGTAAGATCTCCACATATACCCTAGAACTTAAAGTACAATTAAAAAAAAAAATCAGAACAATATATATAGTTACCATCAGAGTCTTGGATGTGACTGAAAATAGAGAATCTAGTGTTCATAAGGGGATACAGAGTTGTGTAAAGGTAAGCCAGATTGGTGCCGCTGGGAAAATGATACATCTTGTTCACACCACTGTTCCTTGTGATGCTCAACACTTTTAAAGCTGGACACTGAGCTAAAAGAAACCTTGGTGGTCAACTACCCTAATCTCATTCTATACCTAAAGAAAATGAAACCCAGAAAGGGGAAAGAACTTGTGCTAAAGGTTGGCCTGTAAAAACATTCCAATCGTTTTATTCCTCTCAAATTTTCAGTCACCCTTTTCTTATTTATTTCATAAAACAGGTACCATACATCCCAGTTCCTTACTTAAAACTTACACAACATTTTATTTTGCAATAATTATATACTTAGAGGAAGTTGCAAAAATAGTACAGAGTCTCATGTATCATTTACCAGTTCCCTCCAGTGGTATGGTCTAAGTACAACTTCATATCCAAGATACTGACAATTATATTATACTGCTGTCTAGACTACAGACTATTCACTATCACCAGATTTTACATGCATTCATTTGTGTGTATGTAGGTCCATACAACTTCAGCACAGGTATTGATTCATCTGCTTAACCTCATAATCAACTATTATAATCAACATCATAATCATCACAATCATATAGAACTGCTCCATCAGCACAGAGGAACTCCTTATGCCATCCCTTTAGAGTCACACCCCACACCCTCTCCAGTCCCTGTCCCTGGCAACCATTAATCTGTTCTTCATTTCAATAATTTTGTCATTTCAAGAATGTTATATAAATGCAATCATACAGTATGTGACCATTTGAGACTGGCTTTTTTTGGTTCACCGTAATACCTCTGAGGCACAACCAAGTCTTATGTCAACAGTTAGTTCCTTTTCATTCCAGAGTAGTATTGCAAATTATGGATGGTTTGTTTAACCATTTACCTGTTGTAGGACATCTGGATTGTTTCCAGTTTGGGGCTATTACAAATAAAGCTGCTATGAATATTTGGGTACAAGTACAATATAGGTTTTCATTTCTCTGTAATGAATGTCCAGGAGCACAACTGCTGGGTCTTATGTTTAACGTGATAAGAAATTTATAAACTCTTCTCCAGAGTGGCTGTACCATTTTCTGTGCCTGTCAGCAATGTATGAAATATCCAGTTTGTATCCTCATCAGTATTTGGTATTTTCATTATTTTTAATTTAGCCATTCAGATAAGTAAGTCATAGCCTCACTGTGGTTTCAATTTGCATTCCCTGATGACTATGGAGTTTAACAGCTTTTCATATGCTTACTTGCCATTTGTAGATCCTCTTCGGTGAAACATATAGTCATGTCTTTTGCCCATTTTCTACTTGGACTGTTTTTATGGTTGAATTTTTGTGGCTTTCTTTTTTTTTTTGAGACAAGGCCTTACTCTGTTTACCCAGGTTGGAGTGTTGTGGTGTGATCATAGCTCACTGCAGCCTCAAACTCCTGGGCTCAAGTGATCCTCCTGCCTCCCTAGTAGCTGGGACTACTGGTGTGTGTCATGGTGCCCAGCTAATTTTTAAAAAAATTTTTTGTAGAGACAGAGTCTCACTATGTTGCCCAGGCTGGTAATGAACCCCTAACCTCAATCACTCCTCCCATCTTGGCCTCCCAAAGTGATGAGATTACAAGCATGAGCTACCATGCCTGGACTACTGTTGAGTTTTGAGCAAACTTTATATATTCCAAATTGATCAGATAGGTGGCTTGCAAATAATTCATCTCAAGCTGTAGCTTGTCTTTTCCTCTTCTTAAATCAAAAGTTTTTAAGTTTTGAAGAAATCCAATATATCAGTTTTTTCCTTTTATGGATTGTGCTTTTGGGGCAAAGTCCAAGAACTTGTCACCTGGCCCAAGATCCTGAAGATTTTTCTCCTGTGGCTTTTTTCAAAGTTATATAGTTTTATGTATTACATTTAAGTCCATTACACATTTAGAGTTAAATTTTATATAAGATGTGAGGTTTAAGTAGAGGTTCTTTCTTCTCCTTGCTGTGGGTGTCTAATTGCTCCAGCATAATTTGTCGGAAAGGCTATTCTTCCTCCATTGAATTGCTTTGCACTTTTTCAAAATCAGTTGGGCATATTTATATGGGTTTATTTCTGGGCTCTCTCAACTGTTCCATTGATCTATCTGCCTGTTCCTCTGCCAATACCATCTATCTTGATTACTATAGCTTTATAGTAAGTCTTGAAGTCAGGTAATGTGAGTCCTCCAACTTTTTCTTCTTCAAAATTGATTTAGCTTAATTAACTTTACACTGGATATTTTCATCTTTCCTATAGGGAAAGAAAAAGAATAGAGAGGAATTGTGGCTATGGGAAATTAGGGAAAATATAGTATATACATTCCATATGCTCATGACTAGTGGTTTTCAAATGTTAGTGTGCCCCAGAATCAGCTAAGTTCATGCAGATTTCTGGGTTCTACTCACAGAGATGGAGTTTGACCTTCAAGTGATTCTGATGCAGGTGGTTCTAGACGACACTTTGAAATTTGAAAAACAAGGAGAACCAAAAACCAAAAACAACCTTTATCACTTACCTTCCAGTATGCAACAAGCATACTTTGTTTCCAGTATAGAACAAGCACACAGAAAAGTGTGTCTTTTCGGAAGACACATTTATCATTTGAAACCAAAAACAACCTTTATCACTTACCTTCCAGTATGCAACAAGCATACTTTGTTTCCAGTATAGAACAAGCACACAGAAAAGTGTGTCTTTTTGGAAGACACATTTATCATTTGTGCTTTTACATGGTTAAGAGTAATGCAACCAGACTTTTTAAAGCATGGTTTTTTATTACATCCTAAGTCCTAAATGTTTCTGGGGAAACGCGCATTTATATTATAATTGAAATTCCTAGGCAGATAGGATCTGCTCAATAGAAATTTACTTCAGAGTCAAATATGCTAGAACTCATGTTTGGTTAAAAAGGGCACCTTCAGAGATTCAATGTTTAATAGGTGTCTCAGGATATATATTTTAGAAATCAAGAAGGAAGATACTGCCCTCTCAATGACATAGAGGTGGGGTATTTCCTTCCACTCATACTAGATTTATTATTTGCTTGTCCAACGTAAGCATCATACCTACAAAATTGAAACATGAAATATTCTAGCAAGTGAATGTATTTGAAAATGAAAATAAAGACTTCCAAGTTAAAAGGGAAATATAAATGTTTAAAATACACTCCCCAGACATTTTATTATAAGCTATTCCTTGCCAATGTAACTCCCATAGCCTTTTTAAAAATAACTTTCATATTCTACTTAAATCATCTTGCATATGCTCTTTATAGGTCAGTTGTAGGTAGGAGGGTTCAGTAAACTCAAATTAAACTGTCAGGAATCCATCCTGTGCTGATTGCATGTGAAAACTTATCTACTGGGATATAAAAAGAATTGTTCTATAGTTTGCCTGCATGTGAGCTGTGTGCATTTTAGGTTGTGTTTTGTACACAAATTGAAAAAGAAGTTTTTTACCCGACTTTGTCTCCTGCTTTATTCTAGAGAAGAAAGTTCTTGCATAAGCTCTTCTTTTTCTTGTTGCAATTCCCGCAAATGCTGCTGGTTTTGCTCCAGTCTGTCCTCCAACCACTGTAGGAGAGGCCCACTGACTGCCGACATCTGACTGCACAGATTCTTGGTAAACACTTCAATAGGAAAAATAAAGATGAAAATAATTGTGGAAAAGCACTGTCCACTAGCATGTTCCCACTCCATCACCAACAGACCATCAACCATGAGCATAGAAAGAAGGGTTTGGAGAAGGAAGTAGAAAAAGTCTAATTATTAGGACTGGTAAACAATTTTCTATGCCCTGCCAGGGAAAAAACAGAAGAGCTGAGCATAGAAAATACCCATTCTGAGGCCATCCTGAATCCATAAGCCAGAGGGAAGCCTGGCAGAAAGATGGCCAGCTCTTTACTCCCTTAGGTAAAAGGGCTAAGAGCCACGGATGGGTTCTTTTCCCCAGCCTTTCAGACCTTCCCGTGATGTAAATCACCATAACCTCCTAATGGGCCAGAAGTCAGCCTTCTGCAATTTACATTTCCAGAGAGCCCTCTAGGCACATCAAATGTTATGTATATTGAAGAAATATACATTAATTGAATACACCTGAGAGCTCCTCTTTTAAAATGAAGAAGAAACAGAAATGAAGAGTAAGGGAGTTATCATCTTTTATGCTTTACTGTGAATGTTCAGCTTAATGGTGAGACAAAGATTCTATGACACTTTTAAAACAAATTCCATTTATGTAAGTATCTTTTTCTCGCTCATAATATATGACTGCTATTGAAATGACCACTGTCCAGTGTTATGCTATTTTAAAGACTGCAGTTAAGTAGAATTGCTACATCTAAGTACATGTATATTTTAAGACTAATTATCCAGTATTTTCCAGATTGTACCAAATCATATCTCCAGGAACAGGGAGACTGACTGTTCACTTCCCTCACATCCTCACCTAATTGTCTCTCAATTTAATCTTTGCCAAAAGAAAAGGTGAAAAACTGATAATCTTATCTTAATCTATCCTTTTAAAGATAATAATTAACATTGTTATTTTTGTAGGGGCCCATAAAAGTCTTTAATTTTTATTTAGTCAATCTCTCCTTTTCTGAATTCAGGGTTTCACATTATACTTAGGCCATTACTTTCCTAGAGTCTGAAAAAATTCTTAAATTTTCCTCCTATATTTCTTTAACTTATAAAATGAGCTTTTGGGGGTATAATTTACAGACAGTAAAATGAACCAATTTAAAGTAAACAGTTCTACGAGTTTTGACAAAGGTATACCCCATGTTATAATTTGGATATTTGGCCCTCCAAATCTCATGTTAAAATCTGACCCCCAATGTTGGAGGTGAGACCTCATATGAGGTATTTGGGTCATGGGAGTGGGTCCTTCATTAATATATTAATGCCCTCCCTTAGGGGTGACTTCTTTCTCTGTTAGTTCCCACAAGAACTGCTGTTAAAAAGAGCCTGCCCCCTCCGCCATTCTCTCATTTCCTCTCTTGCCACCTGATGTCTGCATACACAGGATCCCCTTTGCCTTCTGTCATGAGTGGAAGCCCTCACGAAATGCAGATGCCAGCACCACGCTTCTTTTTCAGTCTTCAAAACTGTAAAGCCAAATAAACCTCTTTTCTTTATAAATTACCCAGCCCCAAGTATTCCTTCATAACAATACAAAACGAACTAAGACATATCATGTAACCAGTGCTAGTCAAGATATATCATTCCATCACCCTCAAAGAATCCTCTCTGCAGTTTCCTTTGCATTAAATGCCCCTTCACCCCTGGGCCAGGCAGTATCACACCATAGATTAGTTTTGCTCATTCTTGAATTTGGAACCATGGAGTACGTAGCCTTCGTCCAATACTTACTTTACCTGGCATAATGTTCTTGAGACTTGTCCTGTTTGTTCATGTTTCAGAAGTTTGTTCTTTTCATTGTTTAGTACTCCATTATACGGATATATATCCGAGTTTATCCATTTACCCGCTGATGCACATTTGTGGTGTTTGTACCTTTTGGCTCTTGTGAATAATGCTGGTGTGAACATTTGTGTACAGGTTTTGTTTGAGCAGCTGTTTTGAATTCTTTGAGGTATATACCTAGGAAAGGAACTGGTATGACATTTGGCAACTATAATTGCCAACCTTTTTTCTAAAGCGGTTGTACCATAATAGTGAAAGTTTAAATATATCTTGATTTTATTTTTTTGTGTCTGGTATTAGGTAGGAATCTATTTTCCCCCAAATGGAAAAAAAGAATATAACTCCATGAAGGTTAAGACTGTCTCTTTTGTTCAGCACTGTACTTCAGTGCCTAGAATAGTGCCTAGCACAGAATAGACACTCAAATGTTTCTTGAATGAATAAACTAACAAAGAAATGAACTGTCTCAATCCTATTTAGTAAATAATTCATGCTTTTTTTCATTTTTTTAAAGTAATATCTTTGTTAAATATAAATTCTTATATATACACAGTTCTATCTCTGGTCTCTGTCACTTCCACTGATCTATTTGTCTATTTTTGATCCATCATTTATACTTTAAAAATTACTGTGTCTTTAGACTATGGCTATATATATATATATAAGCAACTTTTTAAAAAAAATTATTTATTTTACTTTAGGTGCATACTATATCTGGCATTTCTCCCCATGTTATCCCTCCCCACCCTCCTCTCCCTCCCCGCACTCCCCCACCCCCCCTACCCCCCCCAACTGCCCCCAGTGTGTGATGCTCCTCTCCCTGAGTCCACTTGTTTTCGTTGTTAGACTGGACCAACTTTTAACTTTGTCATGTTTTACCCTGAGATAGAAATTATGGGACAGATAGATCAAGCCGTTTCTCCCTTTTCTTTGAAAAGTAACTGCCTATAACACTCAAAAGCCTTCCCTTCTTCCTCACTGGTGACTTTGCCAGTAACTAGAGAAGAGTGAACAGAATGACCCAGAAGTCAGGGTCACTCAGACAGAAAATGTGGCTGGGGAAGTGTGTATGTTGGGGACAAGTGAATTAGCATATATATTGTATTCAGCTTTTTTTCCTTTGCCTTGTACAAGAATTACTTTTATATTTATTGACATCAAAAGATTTTCTCCCTCATGTCTTCCCTTTTATCTGTCTTTCTGTCTATCCATCCACCTGTTTCCGTTCCCACAACAGGCTCGTAATGTTATGCTGGAACCACAAGAGCCAACCATTAAAATTCCAATAAGTTTGTAAGCTGGTTGATGTCATGTTAGTTGCTTGAAATCAGCCATGCCAGGGCATTACACCATGGAAACATACAAACACAACAAATCAGGGTCCTCCCTGCTCCTTGAGAACTGGGTGTTAAACCTGTGCCAGAGCACCACTGAATAGGTCTATCATAAATCTCCTTCCTGTCTTTCCTCTTGTCTTACTGTAGGCTGTGTTTACAGTACTCATGGATACCCAGGGTTCAAAAGAAATGTTGGGATCAGGATCAGGAAAACCCTTGGGAAAGGAAACCTGGGGACAACTTGTACCCATCACTTCACTCACTTAAACTAAATTTGCTTCTATCAGCTGAGTATTTTAGGGAAATACTCAAAAAAGTCTGAGTACTCAAGAAAAAATTCTTACCTGAGCCATTATGGATCTTGGTTACTGAGTCCAGATGTGTGAGGCTAGAGGATAAAATAGTTTAGGTTAGTGGCACTGAACAGAAAACAAAATGGTCATGGAGTATAACAATAATGAACTGCATCTGACCGTTGCCAACTGGATTAGACGAATATGTAGTATTTAAATCCCCAATATTAACTTTTTGACGATTTGGGAGACATGATTTTATTCAAAGACAATTGAAAGTGATCATTTCGAAATTGCTATCTCTCACCAAAGGTCTGAATTAGTACAAATTTATTGGGCAAGACCTAGTGCATGGCAACAGGATTAAGATGTTGTGGATCATCCTATTTTCTCAACCAAAAGAGAAAGTTCCAAAGTAAGCAGGAGAAAAACGAATGTTGCAGAAATTATCATACAATGTGAGAAACATTATGATTGTAGACTGCTAGAAACTTTTCTCAGAGAGGCAAAAGGAGAGGGGCCTCAAGAGTTGAGCTGCTAAAGATAAAAGGACAGAAAAAGAAAAGCAAGACTGGGTCCTAAGAAGTAGAGAAGAGGAGTGAAGAGGGTCTCTACCTGTGGATCCTCCTATACGCATCCTGCTCCTCCTGGCACAGGATCTTGGGCAGCTCTACTGCTGATTCAAGGCACACTTTCCCGATAGTGACATGAGGTACAATATGGATTGGGATTTCGATTCTCTCATACCTGTGAGGCAATCAGTACAGATCAGTTTTTAAACCCCGAGTTGTCATAATCAGAAGTTTTCAATAGTTTTAATTGAAACTTTGGGTATAGCGTACTTCAAAGATTAAGCATTGCTATAATTCATTTAGTGACTCAGCTTCAAAGTGGATACAGTTCAAACTGGGTTCGTCTGGAGAGCAAACTAAAAGCCCGTTTGCAGAGCCAGTATTCCCTAGTCCCACAGAGAATCTAAGGCCATTTCTGTAAATTTAAGAGAAACCTTGTGAGCTCAAGGTCTTTACATCTACTCCCCAGGCAGGGGAAATAGCTAATTAATACTGTTTTCAGTCAAGAAGTTACCAATGAGGTTGAACAAATTAATCACAAAAGTCTGGAGAAGAACTACAGACTCTTCAATGACTCCATCATATTCATTATGTAGGTGGGATTACTCACTTGTTCTAACTCAGTGTTTACCAGTGGCCCTCACTTCCCATTTTCTCCCCTTTTGGGGGGGAGGGAATAGGTAAGAAATTCACAAATATTCACATGTTCATGCTAGAGTGGGAGAAACAGAAATGTTTGTTACTAAGGCCAACCAATCTACCTCTACCCACTTCTTACCCCAAATACACCTAAACTCTACCTACCAGTGGGTTCAGTGGAGAATCCAGGTGGAGGGCCCCTGGCACTGTGAGACCCCACTGGCACATGGTGGTAAGGCAGCTTAAGATCTAGCTTTCCCATCTCTCTTCCCCACCCAGCAGAACATGTCTAGTCCCCATACCACAACCTAGATGAAACACAAACAATGGGGCATTACAAGGCCTCCCCTCCCTACACCCAAGTAGTCAGGGTGTCCTTCCATCTAAAAACATTTATTTTCAGTCTGAAGAACTTTTAATATTTCTTGTAGTGAATATCTCCAGATTAATCCTGCCTGGTTTTTTTTTTTTTTTTTTTTTTTTTTTTTTTTTTTACATAAAATTTTTTTTTTTTTCTTAATATAATATTCTGGGGTTGATATCTTTTTTCTTTATGTACATTAAAGATGTCATCCCATCATCTTCCAGCCTCCAAAGGCTCTGATGAGAAGACAGCCATCATTCTTATCAGTGTATTGCTCCACTATTTGTAACATATCTTTTATTCCTTTAGCTGCTATAATGTTCCTGTCAGTTTGCTTGTATCTATATTGCTTGTGATTGGCTGAGATTCATGAATCTGAGTATTAATCGGTTTTTAGAGAATTCTTAGCCACTATCTCCTTAGGTATTCTTTGTCTACTTCTGGTGCTCCAATTACATGTAAATTAAAATGGTTCATACTGCTTCACACCTCTGTCACACATCATTCTGCTAGTTCATTCTCTCTTTTTTTAACTCTTTGCTTCACTTGGGGTGTATTTTATCAACCTGTCTTTGTGCTCACTGATCACTTCTGCTATACTTCAGTCTGCTGCTAGCCCTTCCAATGATTTCTTAATTTTAGGTATTTTCCACTTTTACAATGTCCATTTGGGTTGCCTTTTTTTTTTAAATTTGTGGTTAAAAAAATAAAATTTACTATCTTAACCATTTTAAGTGTACAGTTCAATAATGTAAGTATTTTAACATTGTTATGAAACAGATCTTCAAAACATTCTCATCTTGCAGAACAGAAACTCTATACCCATTAAACAACTCCCCCTTCCCCCTTCACCTAGCCCCTGGTGACCACTATTCCACTTTGCATATTTATGATCATCAGATACCTTATATAAATAGAAAAATGCTATATTTGTCCTTTTGTGAATAGTTTATTTCACTTAGCATAATATTCTCGGGGTTCCTTTATGCTGTAGGTTGTAACATGATTTCCTTTATTTTTAAGGTTGTATAGCATTCCATTATGTTACATTGTATTTTGTTGGTCCACTCATCCATCAATAGACATTTGGGTTGCTTTTACCTCTAGACTATTGTGAATAATGCTGTCAACATAGGTGTGTAAATACCTATTTGAGATCTTGCTTTTAATTCTTTTGGATATATATCCAAGAAATGAGACTGGTGGATCATATAGTTGATCTATTTTTAAGTTTTTAAAGAAACTTCATGCTGTTTTTAATTGAGATTGCAACACTACAATCTTAACAATAATGTGCAAGGGTTCCAACTCCTCCATATTCCCACCAACACTTGTTATTTTTTGATTTTGTTAGATAATACCTGTCATAATGGGTGTGAGGTGATATCTCATTGTGGTTTTGATTTGCATTTCTCTGACAATTAGTGACACTGAACACTCTTATATAGGCTTGTTGGCCAAGAGAAATATCACTTTAAGTTCTTTGCCCATTTTAAGATCAGATTTTTGTTGTCGCTGAGTGTAAGAGTTCTTTATATATTCTGGATATTAACCCCTTATTAAAAATATGATTTGCAAATATTTTATCCATACATTGCCTTTTCACTCAGTTCATTGTTTCCTTTCATGCACAGAAGTTTTAAAGTTTTATGTAGTCTCATTTGTCTATTTTTGCTTTTGTTAGCTGTGCTTTTGGTGTCATATTCAAGAAATTACTGCCAAATCCAATGTCATGAAGCTTTTCCTCTAAGTTTTCTGCTAGTTTTGTACTTTGTGATCTTATGTTTTGTTCTTTAATTCATTTGAGCTAAGTTTTATATACAATGTAAGATAAGGGTCCAGCTTCTTTCTTTTGCATGTGAATATTCAGTTTTTCCCACAACATTTATTAAAGAGATTGTCTTTTTCCCATCTAGTGGTGTTGGCATCCTTGTTGAAGTTTACTTGACCATATATGCAAGGGTTTAAATCTGGGCTCACCATCTGTTTCATTGATACCACACTGTTTTGATTACTGTAGCTTTGTAGTTACTTTTGAAATCAGGCAGTGTGAATTGTCTAAATTTGTTCTTTTTCAAAATTGTTTTGGCTACTCAAGGGCCCCTGAGATTCTATATGAACTTTATGATAGATTCTTCTATTTTTAAAAAGGCCATTGGGATGTTTACAGTGATTGCATTAAATCTACGGATCACTTTGAGTAGTATGATTATCTTAACAATATTAAATTATCCAATCCATGAACATGAGATGTCTTTCCATTTATTTGTGTCTGTAACTTCTTCCAGCAACATTTTGTAGTTTTGAATACATAAGTCTTTCGCCTCCTTGGTTAAGTTTATGCCTAATTATTTTATTCTTTTTGATATTATTGTAAATGAGATTTTCTTAATTTCCTTTTCTGATTATTCATTGTTAATATATGGAAATAAAACCGATTTTGGTTTGTTGATTTTTGTATCCTGCATCTTTCTCTTTTTGCTTATTAGTTCACATATATGTCATGTGTGAACAGAGAGATAAACTTACATCTTCCTTTCCAATGTGGATGCCTTTTATTTCTTGTTCTTGCCTAATTGTTTTGGCTAGGAATTCCAGTCCTGTGTTGAATGCTTATTTTTAAACTGAAGTGTATGTCTTTTTATGTTGAGTTGTAAGAGTTCTTTACATAGTCTGGATACTAAACCATTATCATATATGTAGTCCTCCCTTATCCTTGGTTTTTCTTTCTGTGGTTTCAGTTACCTGTTGTTAACCATGGTCTAAAAATATTAGATGAAAAATTCTAGAAATAAAAAATTCGTAAGCTTTAAGTTGCAGAACTTTCTGAATAACATGACGAAATCTTGTGCCATCTTGCTCTAACCTGCCCAGGATATGAATCATTCCTTTGTCCAGCAGATCCACACTGTATATGCTACTATCCAGTAGTCACTTGGTGACTGTCATGGTATTGCAGTTCTTATGTTCAAGTAACCCTTATTTTACTTCATAACTGCCCCAGAACATATGAGTAGCAATGTTGACAGTTCTGCTATACCAAAGAGAAGCCCTAAAGTGCTTCATTTAAGTGAAATGGTAAAAGTACTCAATTTTTAAAAAAGAGAAAATATCAGATGCTAATCCTGCTAAGACCTATGGTAAGAACAAATCTTCTGTCTTTGAAATTGTGAACAATATATTGTTATAATTGTTCTATCTTATTATTGTAGTTAATCTCTTACTGTACTTAATTTATAAACTAAACTTTATCACAGGTGTTTATGTATAAGAAAACATGTAATAGGGGTCAGTACTATCTGTGGTTTCAGGCCTCCCCTGGGGTTCTTGGAACATATTCGCCAAAGATAAGGAGACACTGCTTTTTATAATTTGCCACTATTTTTCTGATTCTGTAGGTTGTGTCTTTCACCTTCTTGATAATGTGCTTTGATGCACAAAAGTTTTTAATTTTTATCAAATCCAATTTATCAGTTTTTTCCCTTTCTGCCTTGTGCATTTGATGTCATATTTAAGAAACTGCCAAATTCAAGGTCATGAAGATGTATCTCTATGTTTTCTTCTAAAGTTTTATTGTTTTAGCTCTTCTATTTAGATCTTTGATCCATTTTAATTTTTGTATATTGGGTGAGGATAGTGGTCCAGCTTCATTCCTTTTGCATGTGGATATCCAGCTGTCCCAGCACCATTTGTTGAATTGCCTTTTGTTTCCCTGTTGAATTACCGTGACACACTTGCTTAAGATCAATTTACCTGAAATGTAGAGGCTAACTTATGGACTCACAGTTCTATTCCACTGATTTATATATCTATCCTTTGCCATCTTTTGTTGTTTTTCTACAGTTCTCTGAAACTCTGTACCTTTTTTCCCGGTCTTTTTTTCCTGTCTGTTATACAGCTTGCATAATTCTATTGATCTGTCTTTAAATTTACTGACTCTTTCCTCTGGCATTTCCACTGCATTCTCTCCTTTAATCTAGAGTTTAAAATTTTTGGTTATTATATTTTTCAGTTGTAAAATTTTCTGTTTGGTTCTTTTTATCTTCTATTTCTTATATGATACTTTCTTTTTAAATATTTGTTGAAACATTTTTGTGATTGATAGCTTGAGCACTTTCATAACGGCAGCTTTTAAAGTCCTGTCAGATATTTCCAACATAAGCGTCATCTAG